TGTTACCTTCCCACTGAAGTGGTACCTATTTATCTACTTGCAATTTCTTGCTTTCGAACTGCTCGGATGGCAGGAGCTGGAACTAGAGACGGGAGCTCACTCCATCATGTGGCAGCTGTATGGAGCTACGTGCACACACACACACACACACCGTGCTGGTTCAGATGGGGCTGAACAACTAACTGCAAGCCAGTGTACTTCAGAGCTGCGGACTGCACAGCTGGAATCCTGTGCCTAGTCCCGCGCAATGACTTCCCTGCAAAGTGCATGGAGGACTGCCTGCCCTCACCCACACTTTTGCAACATTGCCATCTCGGGCTCCCCTGCCGGAGTCTGCTCCAGGTGGCTGCTTAGGAAGGCGCCCCGAACAGCACCTCTGGAAGTTTGACCAGGGGGTGAACTTGCGAGATGGGACCTCCGATCCTATGCACCCATTTCACAGACAGGCACATAGCTATTGTGGAGCTCAGGGGGAGGAGAAGCCAAGGCTCAGGTTGGGGCCGTGGAAGAAACGTTAGGGAGCTGGGCCCCGTGGGCCCCGTGTTAGCTACGGGCCTGTCGGCTACTGCATAAATTAGTCTGCTCTGGAGCCATCCTTCCTGAGCCAGGGCAAAAATATGTGAGCTGGAGGCTAAAAACCTGTGAGCTAGCTCACACTCACTCGTCTTATAAGGAATGCTGTAATTCCAGGAGAACTCCAGGCCTGCATGGAGTTTAACAACCCTGGGGGGGAGAAAGGGAATGACTCACACTTGGCCAGACACACTGGAAGGAAGGGAAACCCCAAAGGTGTTACCAGCCCCCTAGGGGTTTGCTTCAGCTGCCTGGGTAGAAAACCTGCATGCAAGCAAAAGGGTCCGGCTGGTCACTGTTTGGTACGCATGCTAAGGGCTGCCTGAGCCAGCAGCGCTTTGTTGAACCTCCACTTTGGGGTGGGGTGGAGGGAGCAGAAAACCTCTGCACCGTACATGATGCACACTGCAATTCTGCAAAGCACGATAGAAGATGCCTGGGAAATACCTGCCCGTGTCCAGGCAATGACGGGCAAAGGGTGCCCCTCAGCAGAGCAGAAGAAGTCCACGCTTTGACCTTCGGTCACGGTCTGGTCAGTAGGGACTACCACGAACCTCGGAGTATCTGCAGAGGGATGGTGAAGCCAAACAGAAGAGGAAGGAAAAGACTTCAGAAGGAACAGACCACTTTACACAGAGAGTGATTAAAATGCGGAGTTTGTTGCCGGAGGATGTAGTGATGGCCACAGGAATAAACAGCTTTCAAAGGGGATTAGATAAATTAACGGAGGATAAATCTATCAGTGGCTACTAACCATGGTGACTGAGGGGAAACCTCACACTCAGAGGCACTAAGCCTCTGAACCCCAGAGCCAGGAGGCAACATCAGTGGAAGGCCTTGGCCTCTTTGTCCTGTTGTTGGCCCTCCAGAGGAACTGGTTGGCCACTGTGTGAGACAGGATGCTGGACTAGATGGACCACTAATCTGATCCAGCAGGGCTCTTCTGATGTTCTTCTGAAGGCCTCGGCCTTTCTGCCCTGTTGCTGGCCCTCCAGAGGAGCTGGTTGGCCACTGCGTGAGACAGGATGCTGGACTAGATGGACCACTGGTCTGATCCAGCAGGGCTCTTCTGATGTTCTTCTGAAGGCCTCGGCCTCTCTGCCCTGTTGGTGGCCCTCCAGAGGAACTGGTTGGCCACTGTGTGAGACAGGATGCTGGACTAGACTGACCACTGGTCTGATCCAGCTCTACTTACGTTCTTCTGAAGGCCTCAGCCTCTATGCCCTGTTGTTGGCCCTCCAGAGGAACTGGTTGGCCACTGCGTGAGGCAGGATGCTGGACTAGACGGACCATTGGTCTGATCCAGCAGAGCTCTTCTTGTGTTCTTATGAAGGCCTCGGCCTCTCTGCCCTGTTGTTGGCCCTTCAGAGGAACGTGTTGGCCATAGTGTGAGACAGGATGCTGGACTAGATGGACCACTGGTCTGATCCAGCAGGGCTCTTCTGATTTTCTTCTGAAGGCCTCGGCCTCTATGCCCTGTTGTTGGCCCTCCAGAGGAACTGGCTGGCCACTGAGTGAGACAGGATGCTGGACTAGATGGACTACTGGACTGATCCAACAGGGTTCTTCTTATGTTCTTATGTAGAGAATGGAAAAATCCCTTTCCACCTGCATAACTAATGGCCTTCAGCAGTAACATCTCTCTCTTCTACACTGTGTATGCTCCTAACTCAGTCTCCACTGCATTGGCCACATAGGTACAAGGTGCAAAGACCCTAAGTTCCATGGGGCTTCACAATATCACCATCTAAAGGAGGACCCCCATAACACCACTGTAAGACCAGATTCCATCATTGCCTAACTGCACTATTGTTTCTCAGTCCAGAATATGGATCGTTCTCTCTCAGACAGCATTGCTGGTGGGTGGTGAGAGAGGTTTAAAAAGTTTAGTCTCATCAGGCCTTGGAAGTTAAGCAGGGGCAGCCCTGGTTAAGCACGTGGACGGGTGACCACCATGGAAGCCCAGGATTATTACAAAGAATCCAGCAATGGCAAACCACCACTGCTCATCTCTTGCCTTGAAAGCCCCGTGGTCCTGGGGTGCCAGGGTCAGTCGTGACTTGATGGCACACAATGAGACCACATGCATTGTTCTTCTGAATTGCAATTGATAATGAATTATAGAATCATAGAGTCGGAAGGGACCTCCAGGGTCATCTAGTCCAACCCCCTGCACAATGCAGGGAATTCAAAAACACCTCTCCCCACACCCCCAGTGACCGCTGTTCCACACCCAGAAGATGACAAAAAACCCTCCAGGATCCCCAGCCAAACTGGCCTGGAGAAAAATTGCTTCCTGACCCCAATGAAGCTCAAGACCATGCACCCCCCTGGACTGAATCAAGACCTAGGTTTCCTGTCTCATTACCTCATGCTGATTTCTCCATGCCTATTGCCCCCCCCCACAGATGAGTGCTGCCCCCTCAGACAAAATCTGTGAAAATTCCAAAAAATCCAAGATTTTTTTTTAAAAAATGAAAGATCCATGTGGGTGTTCCAAACTGATGCCAGGCACAGCCAGGGAATCTTCAGTCTCATTTTCTTTTTCTTTTTTTACAGGACGAAAAATAAATAAGTTTTTTTTAAAGTCGATAAAATAAAATGGCAAAAGATAAAATACAATTGCAAAATAGAGAGAATAGGAAGATAACCCCCCACACACCGGCTTACACAGAAAAGCAGCCCAAAATTGAGTCTCTCCAATCAAAAGGACTAGTGGAGGACGAGGAGTCTCTGTGGAGCTGGAGCTGCTTCTGCTGCAAGAGGAGCAGCAGGTGCAGCTGGGGTACCCCCCCTGATTTTCCCACGCCCCCCCAACCAAAATTTTCTGGCTACACCCCCTGGGTGGGAGATTCCCCACCCCAACCAGGGGACTGGCAAGCCAGTGCTAAAGTGATCCCTAAACACTAATAAACCTTTCCTTACTCAATCTTCCTGAAGCCGGCATTACCCGACAGCACATCCACAAACAACCATCCATGTGTTCAAGGGTCACCTTGTACGATGACGTTGGCGGTGGCCTGGATAGACCCTTCGCTGTTGCTGGCGTTGCAGCTGTACTGCCCCTGGTCCGAGAAGGTGACGTTTTGGATGTAGAGGCCCCCAGAGCTGGTGATGGTGAAGCGAGAGTCCTGCGGCAGCGGGGACCCCGAGCTCAGCTTCCAGAGGATGTGAGGCTGGGGGTGACCCGACACCCCACATTCCAAGGTGACACTTTGCCCAACCAACACTTCTGTGTTCTGGGGCTGGATAACAAAGGTGGGCTTGGCTGAAAGCAAAAGCAAAAGTGGCAGAAAGGTCAGCCGATCCATAATACTATAAACATAGGCAAGGCCAGTAGATAATGATGTGAGTACAATACAAAATCTTGATGCAAATATTCTTGACATTGTTTTGGCTATGTTCCTGGACTGTTTTCTCTTCAAGGTGTCTTGATGGAGCTATGAAGTGGAAAAGCAGACTATAAAGTCTTCGATTTTCAAGCTCCTAAATAGCATAAATAGCTGAAGGCCGAGCGCCGAAGAATAGATTCTTTTGAACTATGGTGCTGGAGAAGACTTTTGAGAGTCCCTTGGACTGCAAGAAGATCAAATCAGTCAATCAAAGAAAAAGAAATCAACCCTGACTGTTCCCTGGAAGGCCAGATAATGAAACTGAAGCTCAAATACTTTGGCCACCAAATGAGAAGGGAGCCCTCACTGGAGAAGACCCTGATGCTGGGAAAGATTGAAGGTCAAAGAAGACGGGGAAGGCAAAGGGTGAGATGGTTAGACAGTGTCATAGATGCAACGAACGTGAAGTTAAGCAAACTGAGTGAACTTAAGAGGACAGCAGAAGACAGGAGGGCCTGGCGTGACCTGGTCCATGGGGTCGCGAAGAGTCGGACTCGACTGTACGACTGAACAACAACACATAGCATTTATCACTTCTTCCCAAAGATATTAGAGAGATGTTGCGTTGATCCACATTATTATAATTCCTGCAGTGCTCTGTCAAGAGATTGGTGATGAACACCAACAGAGAGTTGGTACAAAATATCCGACACTGCTTGTTAATCCTAGGAAAGCGTGTTCTCTTTATCTCTTGTATTCCTTGGATCCACACGTTTTTAAACGAAGAAGTGATAAATGCTATTTAGAGTTGAACAGATGATGGATGCTAAAATGTTATATAGATCGACTTGATGTTATATCCAAATAAAGTTGTTTTTAAAAAAAAGAAATTTGCATTACAAATATTATAAAAGTACAATCAAGGGTGTTAAAGTCATAGAACAGTGGTTTTCTGCAGGGAGCTTATTTTATTTTCCCCATTGTATCCACACCGAAGCCTTTCTTGGTTTAATCCATAATACTAAGCATTTATATGTAGCACTTCAGCATTTATGCGAAGCGCTTACTTTGGGGGCGGGGGTTGTGTGTGTGCCTGGAAGCCGTGGCTGACTTCTGGCGACCCCTAGTGGTGCTTGGACATTTCAGAGAGGTGGCTTGACCTTGCCTGCCTCTGTCCCCTGGCCCTGGTATTCCTTGGAGGTCTCCCATCCAAGTACTTTCCGGGGCCGGCCCTGCTTAGCTTCCGAGATCTGATGAGATCGGGCTTGTCTGGGCTACCCAGGCCAGGGCGCTATTCTTTGTTTCCTCGCGAAGAAGAGCCCCAGCCTGTCCCTAAGCGATTGCTGCATCTCCCAGTCCCCTCGCAGAAGAAGTCGATATTAAGCCCCCCTCCCCACACCAACTGCCAGGCCTGCTTCCCCAGTGCAGCTGGCTTTTAAGCTTTAACAATCTCAGATATCGTCCCTCGAATCGGAAGTGGGAAACGTTTTGCCAGTCAAGCTGCCTTTTTCTCTCTTTTTTCTCTAGCGCCGCAAGACTTCCTTTCCGGAGGACAACAAGCTACCTAGAAATCAAGTGAAGGGCGGGGTATAAATCCAATCTCTTCTTCTTCTTCTTCTTCTATTCTTAATCAGTTTCCCAAGAGCGTTTTTTTAAAAAATTAGTAAATAGTAGTGATTGTGCCCCTCCATTTGGATCAAGGCCACAGTGTGGGGCAAAGAGGCATAACCCACTCCCACTGTGTGCTCCCCCGAATCCAAACAGCTCTCTGGAGCGGCTATTTGGACTTTTGAGAGCTACAGGTGGGACCAGGATATAGCCTCACTGTCGTTCCCAATGGGGCAAATAGAATCATAGAATCATAGAGCTGGAAGGGGCCATACGGACCATCTAGTCCCACCCCCTGCCCAATGCAGGACCAGCCTGAAGCATCTCTGACCAATAATCGAAACCCCCAGAAACCTGAATTTCACAATTAGAAGTCGAAAGATAAATTAGAGAATGATATAATACACCCAGTATAATACATCCAGTCAGGGCTTTTTTTGTAGAAAAAGCCCAGCAGGAACTCATTAACATAATATGCCACACCCAACAGCAGAGACTCATTAGGATTGGCTACAATTAGGGGGTGTGGCTTAACATGCAAAGGAGTTCCTGCTCCAAAAAAAAGCCCTGGGTTTTGACAACAAACAAGGTAAAGAGAATAAGAAGCAAAAGGTGGGTTTGGTTGGATGACCACACTACTGGTAACATGGGGGTGTGGCCTAATATGTGAATGAGCTGTGCTGTCAGGGGTGTGGCCTAATATGCTAATGAGTTCCTGCTGTTGGGTATGGCCTATTATGCTAATGAGTTCCTGCTGGGCTTTTTCTACAAAAAAAGCCCTGCATGGATCCATTTGAAGTTGAGAAATGGGTGCACTGGAAAGGCATACATACACACTAAGCATACCCTTCGTGTGTGTGTGTATGTGCAGACCCACAGACAAACTTGCAAGTAGGGTTGCCAGCTCTGAGTTGGGAAATTCCTGGAGATTTGGGGGGTGGAGCCCGGGGAAGGCATTTTGGGGAGGGGCGGGAATAGTGCCACAGAGTCCACTGTCCCAAAGTGGCCATTTCCTACAAGGAAACGGATCTTTTCCGTCTGCAGGTCAGTTGTGATTCTAGGAGATCTCCAGGCCCCACCAGGAGGTTGGTGACCCTTACCTGCAGGGGGAAGAGACCGGCTCTCGACTGTTTCACATTCCTTTAAACTCTGTTGGTTCAGGCAGGGCTAAAAGGGGCACACGTTCTGCCCCACCAGGTATCTTCCCAGCAGGAAATGGGAGATTGCTCTGGAGTCCCCTGAGATATCAGGAATAGACGGCCCCACTGCTGGACCTCCTGATGGCACCTGGTATTTCTGGCCACTGTGTGACACAGAGTGTTAGACTGGATGGGCCACTGGCCTGATCCAACATTGGCGTCTCTTATGTTCTTATCAGTGGTTACCCAACCACGTGAACCTTCAACAACAGGCTCGGTCGCACTACTAAATATTTGTTTTACATGTCCATCCTGTCCTTCCTCCAGGGGCCACAACCCTGCGAGGTAGGACAGACTGAGAAAGAGGGAGAGAAAGAGGGACTTGCCTAAGAGCTTTATGGATGTGGGGATTTGAACCTGGGACTCCCAAGTGCACTCCAGCATTATAAACCCTCTATCTCAAGGGTGGCCAAACTGCAGCTCGGGAGCCGCATGCAGCTCATTCACACAGTCTAATTTAATGCCTTAAAAAGCAAATTTGCATATTTTTCAATAAAAACATGTGTGTAACAATTGTTTGTGTCTTGCGGCTCTCAAGCATCTGGCGTTTATTCTGTGTGGCTGTTACATTAAGCCAGTCTGGCTACCTCTGCTCTGAAAAGCAGAGGTATGTCGCAGCGAATCCTCGAAAAGGATGTCGATAGCGAACACTCGAAATCAGCCGAACACTCGAAATTGTCTGACGATCCCAGATGCCTTTTGTGAATGCTTGCAAAGAAATCTATACTTCCCCTGCCTTTCAGAAATACGGCAGTGAACACTGACAATTGCGCAGGGACTGGAAATGAGTCCTTGTCCGAACGTTCACAGACCGTACTCATGTATTTAGAACATTTGTAGGTTTCTTCCCACATACTCACTCAAGGTCGGATTTCAACAGCCACTTAATCTTACATGGTCCTCATAAAAAGTAAAGGTAAAGGTTCCCTTGCTCGAAAGCAAGTCAAATTCGACTCTAGGGTTGCGGTGCTCATCTCCGTTTCAAAGCCGAAGAGCCAGCGCTGTCCGAAGACGTTTCCGTGGTCATGTGGCCGGTGTGACTAAACACCAAGGCGTACGGAACGCTGTTACCTTCCCACCAAAGTGGTACCCTATTTATCTACTTGCAATTTCTTGCTTTCGAACTGCTAGGTTGGCAGGAGCTGGAACTAGAGACGGGAGCTCACTCCGTCATGCGGCACACGCGGGTCTCGAACTGCTGAACTACCGACCTTCCACAGCCTGCAGATCAGCGTCTTAACCACTTGAGCCCCCGCAGCTACACGGTCCTCATAACGCACCGATATAAGAGAAACTCTCCAACCTGAAGGGCATAACTGCAAAATCTGAACCTTCAAAGGACAGAAAAAAGCCAATTACATGGGCTGCCAAAGTAACGCAGGACAACTTCGTGGGTCTTTGCTTCTCCAGCGACATTCTTCGCCATGCACTGGTAGACACCTTTGTCTGATTCTCGGGTGTCCTGGATCATTAGCGTTCCGTCTTGCAGCAAGTTCAGGCGTCCGTCATCTCTCATGTCGATCTCATTGCTGAGAAACAGGGACATAAAGGAACTCGGATTATGACAATCCCAAGAGAAGGCAAACATCACAGCTGTTCATCCCAGCCCTGGACTCAGCCAGAGGCACAACAGGTCCACTCACACAAACAAAAGAGGCCCAAGTTAAATATAAAACAAGGAAGAGAAGCTGATGTTCCTGTTTATAACTCTGGGATGATACTTGGTAGCTGATGGAAACTCAGAAGTAGTTCTGATATTCTTTGGCTTTGGGGGGGAAACAAATGGGAATTGAAGAAGAAGAACAAGAAGAAGAGACTGGATTTATAACCCGCCCTTCACTACTGCACCAAGAAGACAGAGCATCACTTGCCCCAGAGTCCCTATCTATACCTTGTGGCTAATAGCCACTGACGGACCTCTGCTCCATATGCTGATGTTCCAGTTTATAACTCTGGGATGATACTTGGTAGCTGATGGAAACTCAGTAGTTCTGATATTTTTGGCTTTAGGGGGGAAACAAATGGGAATTGAAGAAGAAGAAGAAGAAGAGACTGGATTTATAACCCGCCCTTCACTACTTTACAAGCTCCTTTCCCCTCCCCTCCCCACAACAGACACCCTGTGAGGCAGGTGGGGCTGAGAGACCTCTTTCAAGGACTGCTCGTGAGAGAACAGCTCTGAAAGAACTTGTGACTGGCCCAAGGTCACACCAGCAGCTGCATGCGGAGGAGTGGGGAAATCAAACCCGGTTCTCCCAGATTAAAGTCTGCAGTCCTAACCACTACACCAGCCTGGCTCTCAGTTGGCAGAAATGGCTGCAGAATGGTGTTGCTCCCAAAGATTGATCCTGTCTAGACTGGACAGCCCCAAAATCTGACCCCAGTCCTACGGGTAGGGAGGACAGGTTGGTCTCCTGCTTTGGGGGGAGACCTCCCACCCCCCGCTGGCTCTTCCTGCCACAGCTCAGGTAGGCAACAGGGAAATGGGGGTAATGTTGGGTGTCATGCCGATGCCGTTACTTCATTTCTGGTGTAACACAGAAGTGACATCATGGCATTGGGAGACGATGTACACTCACCCCAAATTCAATGGTTAAATCATAGAATTTCCAGCAAATGCTAGAGTGTTGCCCCAATGTGATGACGTCGCTTTCATGCTGCACCAGAAGTGACGTCATTGTGTCGCTGCCAATGTTACAACACTGCCACTGAGGCGCCCTTCCCAGGTAAGGTCTCCCACTGTTTGCAAATTTCAGGCAGGCAGCCCTACCTGTGGGCCCAATCCAGATTAGGGTCCATGAGCTGCTTTTTAATGTGACAGGTCACGGATATCTAGGATTGCCAAGAGAGCCAGTTTGGTGTAGTGGTTGAGTGCGCGGACTCTAATCTGGGAGAACCGGGTCTGATTCCCCACTCCTCCACTTACAGCTGCTGGATGACCTTGGGCAAGCCATAGTTCTGTCAGAGCTGTTATTTCACGAGCAGTTCTCTCAGAGCTCTCTCAGCCCCGCGTACCTCACAGGGTGTCTGTTGAGGGGAGGGGAAGGGAAAGGAGTTTGTAAGCCGCTCTGAGACTCCGAGTGAAGGGCCACGGGCAGGGGATGGGGACTATGGTTGCCAGATTCAAGTTGGGAAACTCCTAAGGATTTGGGACCTCAGGGACCTCAGTGGGAGTCCACCCTCCAAAGCATCCACATCCTTCAGGACATTTGATCGCTGTCGTCTGGAGATGAGCTGTAATACTGTAGGATTCTCCAGGCCCCACTTGGAGGCTGGCATCCCTACGAAGAATCGTGAAATCTGACCCTCAGTTTGGTGAAGCCAAAGGGGAGCAAGCCATTTTTAAATTTCCCCCTGCCTGTTGAAAAATGAGTGAATCCAGGGCTATTTTTGGGCAGGAACGCACAGGAACGGAGTTCCGGCAGGCTCCTGAGTTGGCCACGCCCAGCAGGAACTCATTAGCATAA